TTACAACAAATGAATGGTATAAGCCAACTATTGACATGTGCTTGGCAAAAACGATATGAATGATGACGTTTACTTCATAACCGTTTTTCATTGTGTACAAGGCATGGAATCGAATCGGGGGTCTGTTGTGTTGTTGATTTTGACAATTTCTGGTTGTTAAGGTTACATTAATAACTCATCCCAACACTCCCTCAATTTTCGCTTGATGTTTGGCAATGTGTTTTGCAAGTTTTTCGGTTTGTTTTTTCCTGCCTAACTTGTTGTGTATTTTCCCCCTCTGACGCCAAAGGATTGATCTTTAATCTCTTTTTGGTTTTTTCCCATCACAAGAGTTCATGTGATAATTAATTTGATTTAGAGGCATGAAAGGGTACGTCAGAGACACGCTCTCCATCAAAAGTTTTCTACCGGCAGATGGAGCCGCAGATATGGCCCGGCCGCCTGTCTGCTGTTGCAATTGATTGAGTTGCCAAACAAACTGACAGCATCAATGGGTGGATATTGACATTTCTGTGGTTGTTTTGTTGAACTTTTGCTTGTCATCAATAAAAATTAATGATATATTGTTAGAAATAATCGAATATTTGTGCAACAAGTGTGATGGAGGATTTACCAATTCCCAGTGTTACATAAGTTGTGCTTGAAAATTTGCAGAAAGATTTGTGTTTGAAATGACCAGGGATCAATCTATTATGATGTGGAGACAGGTCAACAGCATTCAAGAGTTGCTGGTATATTATATAACACTGTTATTAGTGGTTTAGAATAAGAATTTTCGGAGAAGGACCCAACAAAAAGAAATAGGCCATGTGTGCCTCACCAATCCCAACAAAAAATCTACTAAAATCGATTTTGATTTTAGATTTTGTATATAATTCTTTTAAACTGCAAAAAAATCAAACGCCATAATTTTTACATTTTTTAAAATTTTGTTGAACGAAAGCCAACAATGTCGGAAATAGCATCAAAATTTAGAATAAGTTTAGATTTGTTCGAATTGGTCACCTTTGGCACGAATTATGGCCTTCAAACAGCCAATAAAACCGTCACACGCTGCCCGAATGTCGGTATTTTGGACCATTCCCGGCAAAGCGCTTGCTTGTTGTGAATTTTTTCTTTGGTATTTTTTTAGTGCAAACCTTGATTTCCAAAATACTCCAGACACAATAGTCCAACGGATTGGTATCCGGAGATTTTAGTGGTCATGAAGCGAGGAAACTCATTTTGTAACCATTCTTGGGTGGCGCGTGCTGAGTGCGATGGTGCTGAGTCCTATTGGATTGTCCAAGGTTTGCGGCCAAAATGTTTGCGAGCCCAAGGCTTTAATACACCGTCCAGGATATTTTCGCGATAATATTCGGCATTTATTCTGATGCCACGGACGATTAATACGGGCGGAGAGCGACCATCGGCTGTTATGGCGGCCCACACCATCACCATGGCCGACGCTTGAGTTCTGGTGGCCAACCGAAGGTGCACATTTTCAGCTGACTTCTTTGGCAAGTAAACACGATCATTTTGTTTGTTTACAAACTGCTGGACAACGAATGTTTTCTCTTCGGAGAAAACCAAATTCGGCAGTTCACCACTTTCGGCCAAGCGAAGCAACTCTTTAGCTCTTTTGAGTCTATTTTCTTTCTGTTGCGGTGTAAGTTCTTGCACTTTTTGGAAATTCAATGGCTTTACCCGTAGCTAATTTTTCAATATTTGCCGAATGAAATATTGCGATATGTTCAGCTCACGAGTCATTTTTGGCCACTGCGACGCGGGTTTCGATCCAGTCGTTTCTTTACTCTTCGAACCATTTCTGCTGATGTTGCTGTTTTCTTCCGTCCACTTCCTTGACGTCGGTCTACGCTACCAATATCACGGTAACGAGCCATGGTACGAGACACAAAAGATTTATTCACATCTAAAAGTTGGAGTGCTCTAACGATAGCCACTCGTGGTTTTGTAGCCAAATATAATGAAATCACACTTGAATTCCATCACGAAGAAGTTTCATTAATAATAATAATTTTAACAGCTGTCAGACGAGTAGCTTGGGAATGACATACATGTATATACGAAATGGCTGAAGTTAGAATATTGAAATTTTGCACGAGGGTCAATTTTAGGTGCGTAGGCGTGTGATAAGGTTGGGTTTTTGAAAATTCGTACCTAAAGTATACGAAAAGTAATAAAATTTTGGGAAAATTTTTGAGTGAATGTCACGGTTGGAATGCAGTTAAGATGTTTGGAAATTTGTACTTTAAGGTTACGAAAAGTTCTTAAAAAGGCTTTAAAACTTCTAAAATGATACCAAAATAAGTTTGAAATATCTGTACTAAGTGTACGAAAAGGTCGTTCTGGAAATATCTGTACTAAGTGTACGAACAGCATTTAATGGTACTAAATTTTTGTTTAGGGTGAACCGATGAAGGTAAAATTTTAAAATTTTGTATTAGGGTCCCCGTTGGTTGTAGGTTTGTGATAAAGATATGGTTTTGGAAATCTGTTCTACAAGTGCACGAAAAGTACAAAGATAGTGCTTGAAATCTGAGATTTGCTATTAGTGTCGCTGTTCATGTGTATCCTGGACATATAAAGGTAATTTGGCAATGAGTACTACAATTGTACGAAAAGTACTAAGTGGTACTAAATTAGGTATTGGGTGAAGGTATAGAGATAAAATTCTGAAATTTGATATTTAGATTACAGCTGATTTCTATTTTTTAGATTTGTCGGCGGTTTTGAAAATGTGTCCTATAAATGTGTACTATAATTGTACGAAAAATACTAAGTGGTACCAGATTTGGTATTGGAGATAAAGTTCTGAAATTTGATATTTAGTTTACTGATGGTATCTGTGTTTGAGATTTGGCGATGGTTTGGAAATTCGTCTTACATTTGTACGAAAAGTACTAAATGGTACTAAATTTGGTATTAAGGTCTCTGTTGGTATCTAGACGAAAAGTACTAAGTGGTACTAAATTGGTTATTAGATGAAGGGATAGATATAAAATTCTAAAATTTGATATTTAGATCACTAATGGTATCTGTGTTTGAGATTTGGCGATGATTTGGAAATACGTACTATATTTGTACGAAAAGTGCTAAATGCTACTAAATTTGGTACTGAGTAAAGAAATAGAGCTGAAATTTTACATAGATGTCACTGTTTGTGTCTGTGGTTAACGTATGGCGGTGGTATTGGAAATGTGTACTATAATTGTACGAGAAGTACTAAGTAGTACTAAATTGGATATTGGATGAAAGAATAGGGCTGAAATACTCAAATTTAATATAGATGTCACTGTTGGTGTCTGCGCTTAAGATATACGGATGGTTTTGGAAATGTGTACCCTGTACCCTGATATTAAAAGTGGATGTCACTTTTGGTATCTACGATTGAGAGAGGAGATGATTTTGGATATGCGTCTTATAATTATACTAAATGGCGTTTATATCATACTTTTTGCTGTTACCTTAATATTTATTAAATTTAATGATGTTTGCTCCATTTGTCACCAGTTTCCGTCATCATCAAAGCCTTCCTGCCCCTTCTAGATCACAGTTTCTGTCCTGCCAATATTATCATTTTCTAATAATATTCCAATGATATTTATTCCAATTTAATCCAATTAAATATTTTTATCTCAAATTTCCTCATAACTTTGACCCTTTTCGTCGAGATATTTATCGGCAGAGAAAAATATAAAACTTTATTTAGCAAAAATATTGTGGGCAATTTTCAAAGTAATTGCCATGGGATGGATGTGATGATGTTCATATTTTCAGCAGTCATATTGCTGTACCACGTTAGACTGCCTGCCAGACTTCAATAAAATGCGTGGCCCTTTCCAGTTTCGTTATAGAACTAACGAATGGTGGCAGTGATGGAGTTTTTGAATGGGGAAGTTTTGCAGAACAATTCTGATCATGATTGTTATGATGGAGGATGGTAAAACAGAGATACTTGTGGCTGAACAAAATGTCAAGAGGGTGAAGTAGAAGAGGAAGAACTCTGATGTTAATGGTGCTGGTTTAGGATAATCTAGTATCTAGAGACTTTTCTTCTCCTTCTCCTCCTATTAACTCTGTTTTTGTTGTTATTGTTTTTATTACTATTATATAAATATGTGGGCTGTGTCTAGCTGGCAGATCATATAAAAAATGGTTTATGCGTAGATCGAGCGTTGTGCTGACGTCGTCGTCGTCGTCGTTGTTGGTGTTGTCATTATTATTGCTGGTTATTCGTTATAAAACTCTAAAATTGAATGTAATTGTTTGGAGGCCTTAATGTGTCTCTCCCATCCAATTATGTGTGGCGGTAACGCTGGTGCTGGTGATGATGATGATGATGGCGGTGTCGTCTCGGGGTCGCTTGCTGCACTCTATTTTTTGTGTATTTTAGTTCCGCCTTCCCATCTGTCTATTATTTAGACATAGAGAATACATGGAGTACGTGCACCAGGGAACGGTTCATTATGGATTATAGTAATTTTTCACCGTATACAACAAAACCCACACTCCATATAATTTTTTTAGAGGTTATTTTTTTTTCGGACTAACTTATTTTCAGATGCATTCTGTTTCGCCTGTGTGTCACTGTTCGCCTAGACTTCATGAAAAAAAAAAAAAAAAAAAAAAAAAACAATGCAAATGAAAAAGCTCATCTCAAATAACAATGAAAATTTTGTATTTTCAGTCTCAGATCCATGGAGTATCTGGGCAAAATGAAATTTCTGCATAAAGTTCGTTCCACTTTCTATTTGTGTAGTTTAATTTTTCTTTCCATTTTTTTTTTTTTTTTGTTTTGATTTTTTCTTTAAATTTTAATGCAACTTTATTGTTCAATAAAATAGCATTTTGACTCAAACAACATCATCCATTCACAGTTAAAATTAATGCATTAATTTTCACTACTTCTTTTTTTTTTTCTTTATCTCTCGCCGAAAAAATACAATTTTGCCATATCTAATGTCGTTTTTTGTTTCTTTTTCTCTTGTTTTTTCCAGGTGTTATACCATGAAATAGTATCACATGCTCGAATAGTAAGTGCCTGTATTAGAGCAGCCTCCGAAAAGGAACAACAACAACAGCAGCAACAATTACATTTGCAACAACAGCAGCAACAGCACCAAGATTCCGATACCAGCTTAATTGCGGAACAAACAAATTCGTCATTATCTTCTACTGACGACACGGCCACAACATCATCGGGCATTGTCTGCTGCTCGACTGAGTCCAACAAAATACCACCTCCCTCATCGCCGACTGGTACAAATTTAGCCAACACCAATCACCACAATTGCTCATCCAATACCGCAGCAGCGGGCTCATCACATTCCCGTAAATCGGAAGTGAGTTTGGAACGTTTGCAAAATCGTTATCATTTGCTATATTTGAAAGCATTTGAGGTACAATTGTGGCTGGACGGATTGCTGAGGAAGAAAAGTTCATCGGTGGTAAGTACAACAATCAAGACCCTTGGAATTAATTATTATTAATTATGATCGATTAGAAGTGGGACACTTTTCCTAAATTAATATTCGCCGCAGCGTTACACATCTTGGAGTATTTGGAAAAAATCAGTTGAATGTTAAAAAAATCCATCTAATTTGGGCTAATCGGGTGAAAAATATATAGCTATATCTATATCTGAACCGATTTTCACCAAATTTGAAGTACTTGCTCCTTGGATGAATTCAAATGGATTTGCCGAAATTTGGCCGGATATTGACCATTTGGCGCACAATAAACCTGTTATCGGTAAAAAATATATATGGGAGCTATATACAATCTCGATAAAAAATTGCAGATGTATTTCTAAGCTGTATCTGAAGTTGTTGTAGAGTATTACGAAAAATGAGGGACTTAAATGGAAAATCGTATGAAACATATATATGGAAAATCGGATGGATATATGTATATGGAGCCTATATCCAAATCTGAACCGATCACGATAAAATTTGACCGAGGTATTTCTGAGCTGTATCAGATGTCTGGTGTCAAATATCATTGTTGTAGACAACATGTTACGAAAATGGGAGACTTAAATTCCAAATTGGATAAAACATATATATATGGGACCTATAGCTATATCTGAATCGATTTTTACCAAGCACTTGGCCGGAAATGCCAAAATTCACTCGATTTAGGCTGATATTAGCCATTTGGTGTACAATAACCGTGAAATCGGACGAAGATAAATATAGGAGCTATATCCAAATCTGGACCGATCTCGATAAAAATTGGCAGAGGTATTTCTGAGCTGTATCCGATATCCGGTACCAAATATTATTGTTATAGACAACATATTACGGAAGTGAAGAACCTAAAATTCAAATTGGATGAACAATACATTTGGGAGCTATAGCCCTATATTAACCGATTTCAATCGGATATGCCAAAATCTACTTCATTTAGGCTGATATTGATAATTTAATGAAACATAAAATACAAATCGGACGGAGCTGTATGTATGGTGACTATATCCAACTCTGAACTTATCACAACAAAATTTGACAGAGGTATTTATGAGCTGTATTTGATGTCTCGTACTAAATATCCTTGTTGTAGACAACATATTACGGAAGTGAGGGACCTAAACACCAAATAGGATGAGCTATATATATGGGAGCTATAGCCCTATCTTAACCGATTTTCACCAAATTAGAAGTACTTTCTTCTGGGTTGAATTGGTCGTATGTGCCAAAATCCACTCTATTTGGGCAAATATTAACCATTTGAATCTCTATAAAATTTAAACCGGATGAAGACATATACAATGAACTATATCTAAATATGAACCGACATTCGTGGCAAATGTAGCAAGTCTAAACATCCGGTCCGGTATTCTAAAATTCATTCGATTCGTACTGATATTACGCATTTGGTGCACAATACTTATGAAATTCAGAACCAATATTCACCGAAAATTGCCAGACTTTATTCAGGACTGACCCCATTTCAATAGGATTTATCCTTGGGTCGAATAAATAACATTTGTAATATTTGATCTAAATCGGACTATAAATGTGACCTGCATTTTGATCAGAAAAATACATGCATGTCCATAAATCGACTCAGAATGTGATTCTCACATAATACCCTGTACTACAGTATCGCGTAGGGTATACAAATCGATTAATCAAAAATCAATTTATGTGTTGCTAGCCCTTTGGAACAGTCAGGTTCAAAAAATGGATCAAAGAGTTCCTGTACAATTTTGTACGAAGAACAACATTCAGATCGCATTGCGAAATTTTACTGTGGCCAGGGAAGTACTAAAAATGCATTTCGAAAACATTTCAGGGGGTCCAACCTGCAAAAAAAAAATATATATGTCGAATGCACAGAAAATATCAGAAATGTACAATTCGAGGTGCCGAACGACAGGGCCACCCTGAATATGTATCGCGAACCTTGGTCAAAAACATAGTTTATTGGTGGACAAAAATTCTCAGTACCAAAATATATAGGGTGTTCAGATTCATTATTCGAGGCTTCCATTTTAAATTGCCAATGCCAGTGAAAGCGGAAGCGGAAGAAGAAAACGGGCAATATTTTTGGGCTAGAATCACGAATGGAAGGAGAGAAGGACAAATGCCAAATGAAAAATACTCTTTCAGATTGAAAATTGGCAAAGCTCAGGCATTACGGCAGTAAAAAAAGTATAAAATCTTAAAAAAAGAACAGATATCATCGGGTACTATTATATGGTGCATTATCAAAAAGTAGGATATGATCCTTAGACCATTTTTTGTCAAATTGCAAGTTGCACATATTCGACGGACCTTTGGGCCCATTCCAATCGACGAGGCTTGTTCGCAGGCAACCTTCTTTGCGTCAATGAATTTTGTGCGGGAACAAATGCAAATCAATGCGAATAATCCGTTGTAAAGTGGACCGAGCCATGCCCAACTGCTGAGAACGGCGTTTTTGGGATGTTCTTGGGGACCTCTCAACACTGGCTCGTACGGCAGCGATATTCTCGGCCGATCGCCTTGGTCGACTTTTATATGGCCTCTTCGGATTAGAAAGAGCCTTACCACTCGAAAATGTTTCGTATAAACGCTTAATGGTGTTCTTTAGAAGGCGCACTTCTCACATTTTTTAATGTTTTAAAAGCACGTTGAGTTTTCACAATTGACTTCTTCTGTTGAATGTTAATTTCAACTATTTCAGAGCGCTCCCGTGGCGTGTATTGGTTCATGGTAAAAATCTACTTGGACTGACGCTTCAAACGCGGTATGTCATTAAGCGATGTAACATCTCTGTCAAAAGTTATGGCGTTGCCAGATAGGTCCGTCGAATATGGGCAACCCTGTAAAGTCTGATTCACAACTCGGACCTATATCGACCGTTACTTGCAACTCATATCAGATTTCAGACAATTGAAAAATATGGCAAGAAACTTTTATCCTACATACTATAGTGCTTAAAAATAATCCCTTAAAGGATATTATGATTAAAAGCGCGAAAGTTCCTGACCTAGTCAACTTTTTTTATAGGCCATACAATTTAAATTTTTTAAATAGTTCTCCAAATGCTTTCTATCACAAATTTTAGATTTGTAACACCCCTCCAAAGTTGGTGCATTTTTCTCATAATTATTATTTTTCCCCCTTCTATGAAAAATCATACAAAAATAAAACGTTAAAGGGAAAATCTTTCACTCCATGCTTGCATTCGACACTGGAAAGATAAATTATCAACTTGAACTTGAAAATCGAAGGCACACACTATGGCTGCTGGAAAGAAAATGAGAAGAAAAACTTGGAGGGGAAAACTTGCAACAATGTACTCTCGTCGCACACACTCACCCAAACACTCTTTTTTTCTTTCATTCGAACCAAAAAAGGTGACAATGAATCCAAAAAAAAAAGTTGGGAACAAGTACTAATTTTGTTTGCCTCTACGGACATCAAACATTGTAAAGTTTTGTCGTAATGTTGCGGTTGACTAGGCTGACATAGTCTGGCCAGTTGGCTGTTGCATTGAAAAATAGATGGAGAGATTGTCTGTGGCACCGAAGGCCGGATAGTTAAGTGTTTGATCATGCAATGTCAATCTATCAGTATACAGTGGGACATTTTGGGCAGAAGCGATAAGGGCGAGTTTCTTGAATTTTAAATATAACATTTTTACACTTTTCAATTTTATTTTTATTGAAAAAATTAATAAAAATACCATTTAATTTTTTTAACTTATTCTTTTTTTAAAAAAGTTATTGAACATTTTTTCTGATACCCAATGGAATCGATTATAGATTTCCTCAGTTTGTAACAGAATGCCACTAACCAATCCCCAACCATTATTTTTATACCCTCCACCAAAAAAGTATGGAGGGTATATTAAGTTCGTCATTCCGTTTGTAACTCATCGAAATAATCATTTTAGACCCAACAAAGTATATATATTCTTGATCAGCGTAAAATTCTGTTCTGTTGTAATCACGCTACAGTCTAAACGAATTAAGATAGGAAGCTAAAATTTTTCACAGATCTCTCTTTTGTCTGCAGGCAGGTCAAGTTCGAAGATGGGCTATATCGGTCCACGATATCGTATAGCCCCCATATAACGGTACCCCCGATATTCGGTATTTTGATGATGTTAGCCACATTTTTCAATGGAATTGTCTGAAAATTCACACAAGTAGTTCCTTGTGAATACTTTACTCCCTGAGAGAGAATTGTTCCTTGTGAGTACTTTACCCCCAGACATAGATTTGTCTATACAGGTCCACAATAGCGTATATCCCCCCATGTATCGGCAACTTCCGATATTATTTTTTTGAATATTTTTTAATTCGTTCCAAATGGTGGAGGGTATTCAAAGTTCGGCCCGGCCGAACTTACTGCTTTTTTACTTGTTATTATTATTCATGTTTAAAGACATTGATGTCTTGTAATGGCAGACAGGTCATTTGCATAAACATTTGTTTACGTTGTATTTAATATGTATTAGTTCAAAATTCTTCCTGTTTGGTTGTCTAATATTACAAGCGTGTGACTCAAACAGTAGCGGCAGCAGCAATTCAATTTTCCTAGAAAAAAGAAAAAAACCAAGAAATTTTTATTGAAAAAACAAATAAACACAATTAGTTGATTGCTGTTCACCATCCGTCTGTCTGTGGTTTTGTTCCTTGTAATTTATGAACCTAAACAATAACCCTCAAACAGTGGAAAAACAATGCCACAAAAATATCTTTGAACCATAAAGTTTATTATTTTGCAAAGTTTCTTTCTTTCCTTTTCTTAAATTTTATTTTTGCATCAATAAACAACAAATCGAACATTTCAGTTGGGAGTTGTAAACAGCAGCAACAACAACAACAGCAACACTAGAAATAAAATGCTATTTTCAGCTATTTTATATCTTTACAAAATATTATAACTGACAGCTAGCTGGTCATTCAGTCGGTCTTCAGACCAACCATCCAGCCAACCAATCGAATGTCCAG